ATGTAGCAAAAGCAGTTCTAAGGGGGCGGTTCAAGCAATAAATGCTTACCTCAAGAAACAAGAAAAGTCTCAAATAAACAACTAACTTTACACCTCAAGGAACTACAAAAAGAAGAAAAAATGTGGCCCGAAGGAAATAACAAAGATTAGAGCAGAAATAAATGAAATAGAGACTAAAAAAACAATAGAAAAGATAATTGAAACTAAGAGTCTGTTCTTTAAAAAGATGAATAAAATTGCAAACCTTCAGCTAGACTCATCAAGAAAAAGAGAGAGAGGACTCAAAATCAGAAATGAAAGAGGAGATATTACAACTGATACCAAAGAAATACAAAGGCTCATAAGAGACAACTATGAGCAATTATATGCCAATGAAGGACAACCTAGAAGAAATGGATAAATTCCTAGAAATATACAAACTAACAAGACTGAATCATGATGAAACAGAAAATCTGAACAAACCAGTTACTCGCAAGGAGATTGAATCCGTAATTGAAAACTTTCCAACAAACAGAAGTCCAGGATCAGACAGCTTCACAGATGATTTCTACCAAACAGTCAAAGAAGAATTAATACCTATCCTTCTCAAACTATTCCAAAAAATAGAAGAGGGGAAACTCTTCCAAACACATTTTATGAAGCCAGCATTCCCCTGATAACAAAAGCAGAATAGGACACCACAAAAAAACCAAAAACTATAAGCCAATATCCCTGTTGAATATAGATGCAAAAATCCTAAACAAAATATTAACAAATTGAATTCAACAGTACATTAAAAGGATTGATCATATACCATGATCAAGTGGGATTTATTCCAGAGATGCAAGGATGGTTCAACATCCACAAATCAGTCATATGATACACCACATTAACAAAACGAAGGATAAAAATCATATGATCATCTCAATAGACACAGAAAAAGTGTTTGACAAAATTCAACATCCATTTATTATTTTTTAAAAAAGCTCTCAACAAAACGAGTATAGAGCAGACAAACCTCAACATAGTAAAGGCCATATGTGACAAGCCCACAGCTAACATTATACTCAACAGTGAAAAGCCAAAAGCTTTTCTTCTAAGATCAGGAACAAGACAAGGTTGTCCACTCTCACCACTTTTATTTGACTTAGAACTGGAAGTTCTAGCCAGAGCAATTAGTCAAGAAAAAGAAATAAAATGCATCCAAATTGGAAAGGAAGAAGTAAAATGTCACTATTTGCAGATGATATGATATCATATATAGAAAATCCTAAAGACTCCATCAAAAGACTGTTAAAACTAATAACTGAATTCAGTAAAGTTGTAGGATACAAAATCAATAAACAAAAATCTGTTTCATTTCTTTATACTAATAACACACTATCAGAAAGAGAAACTAAGAAAACAGTTCCATTTACAATTTCATCAAAAAGAATAAAATACCTAGGAATAAATTTAACCAAAGAGGTTAAAGACCTGTGTATTGAAAACTACAAGACATTAATGAAAGAAACTGAAGAAGACATGGGGAACTTCCCTGGTGATCCAGTGGTTAAGACTCTGCACTTCCAAGAGGGAGGGGATATGGGGATATATGTATATCTATAGCTGATTCACTTTGTTATACAGCAGAAACTAACACAACATTGTAAAGCAATTATACTTCAATAAAGATGTTAAAAAAAAAAAAAAAGACTCTGTGCTTCCAATGCAGGGGGTGCAGGATCGACCCCTGGTTAAGAAACTAAGATCCCACATGCCACATGGTGTGGCCAGAAAAAAAAGATAGAAATTGAGGAAGACACAAATAAATGCAAAAAGAGTCATGCTCATGGATTGGAAGAATTAATAGTGTTAAAATGTCCATACTACCCAAAGAAATCTACAGATTCAGTGCAATCCTTATCAAAATTCCAATGGTATTTTTCACAGAGATAGAACAAACAATCCTAAAATTAGTATGAAAACACAAAAGACCACAAACAGCCAAATCAATTTTGAGAAAGAAGAATAAAGCTGGAGGCATTATGCTGCCTGATTTCAAACTGTATTACAAAGCTGTAGTGATTAAAATGGTATGGTATTGGCATAAACATAGAAACGTAGATCAATGGAACAGAATAGAGAGTCCAGAAATAAACCTATGCATACATGGTCAATTAATTTACAACAAAGGGGCCAAAAATATATACAATGGGGAAAAAGAGAGTCTCTTCAATTAATGGTGCTGGGAAAATTGGAGAGCCACATGCAAAAGAATGAAACAGGACCACTCTTTTATACCATACACAAAAATTAACTCAAAATGGATTAAAGACTTGAACATAAGACCTGAAACCATAAAATGCCTAGAAGAAAACATAAGCAGTTAGTTCCTTGACATAGGTCTTACTGATGAGTTTTTGAATCTGACACCAAAAGTAAAAGCAACAAGAGCAAAAATAAAGTGGGACTATATCAAACTAAAAAGCTCCTGCATAGCAAAGGAAACCATCAACAAAATGAAAAGGTACCCTACTGAATGGGAGAAAATAATTACAAATCATATGTCCGATAAGGGGCTGATATCCAAAATACAAAGAGCTCATACAACTCAATAGCAAAAAACCAAACAATCCAATTTAAAAATGGGCAGAAGCTCTGAACAGACATTCTTCCAAAGAAGACATACAGATGGTCATCAGGTACATGAAAAGAGGCTCAACGTCATTAATCAGCAGGGAACTGCAAATCAAAACCACAATGAGGTATCACCTCACATCTTTTAGAATGGCTATTATCAAAAAATTAAGAAGTAACAAGTGTTGGCAAGAATACAGAGAAAAGGAAACCCCTGTGCACTGTTGGTGGGAATGCAAATTGGTGCAACCACTATTGAAAACAGTACGGAAGTTCCTCGAAAAATTAAAAATAGGGTTATCCTATGATCCAGCAATTCCACTTCGGGATATTTATCCGAAGAAAACTAAAACACTAATTTGAAAAGATATATGCACCCCCATGTTCATTGCAGCATTTTTTGTTTTCAGCCGTGCCACGCAGCTTGCGGGATCTCAGTTCCCTGACCAGGGATTGAACCCAGGCCATAGCAGTGAAAGCCCGTAATCCTAACCACTAGGCTACCAGGGAACTCCCCATTGCAGCATTATATACAATAGCTAAGATACGGAAATAACCCAGGTGTCCATTGAAGGGTGAATGGATTGTGTGTGTGTGTGTGAGTGTGTGTGTGTGTGTGTGTGAGTGTGTGTGTGTGTGTGTGTGAGAGAGAGAGATTCAGCCATTAAAAAAAAAGAATGAAACCTTGCCATTGCCATTTGTGACAACATGAATGGACCTCTAGGGCATTACGCTAAGTGAAATAAGTCAAACAGAGAGAAAGACATATACTGTATGATCTCTCTGATATGTGGAATCTAAAAAAGAACCAAAACAAAAAAACAAGCTTGTAGATACAGAGAACAATTTAGTAGTTGCAAGAGGCAGACGGGGGGAGAAATGGGTGAACAGTTTCTTGGTTTTGTTTAAATAAATTGAATAATTTTTTTAAAAATAGAGGATGCCAAAAAGACTTAAACAGGCATTTCATGGAAGACGAAATATGGATGACCAACAAACATTTAAAAAGATACTCAATCTCACTTGTGATCAATTAAATGCAAATTAAAATCACAATGAAACACCCTTCCATGCCTCACAATTGGGCAAACATTGGAAAACAGAAATAAAAAGGTTGGCTCAGATGTGGAATAATAGGAACCTTCATTTCATGTTAATGGGAATATTCAATACTGTCATTACCCAGTTTAGCTGTACAAGCACATACCCTATAGTGCATTAATTCTTGTCCAAGGCTAGAACAGATACTTGTGAACCATTTCCATAACAGCAAAGAGTTAGAAACACTCAAATATCCATTAACAATAGAGTGGATAGATTTTGACGTATCTAAAGTATGGACTAGTAAGAGTAAAAATAAATCAACTGCAAATGGACGAGTCTCAGAAACCAATATTGAACACAAAATAAAAACTAGATCACAAAAGGATAATCACTGTGTGATTCTTCTTATATAAAGGGCCAGTAGAGGAAAACCCAATGTATTGTTTGGGAATACATATGCATGTGGAAATCGCTAATGAAAGCAAAGGAATGTCATAGGGATGGTATCCACAGAGGAATTTTATAATGCTCTATTTGGTTTTTTTTGGCCGCCCCGCCTGGCTTGTGGGGATCTTAGTTCCCGGACCAGGAATCGAACCCGTGCCCTCAGCAGTGAAAGTGTGGAGTCCTAACCATTGGACCACCAGGGAATTCCCAAGCTGGGACCATTCTTTTTTCTTTTTTTGCAGTACGTGGGCCTCTCACTGTTGTGGCCTCTCCTGTTGCGGAGCAGGACGCGCAGGCTCAGCGGCCATGGCTCATGGGCCCAGCCGCTCCGCAGCATGTGGGAGACCGGGGCATGAACCCGTGTCCCCTGCATTGGCAGGCGGACTCAACCACTGCGCCACCAGGGAAGCCCCAGGGACCATTCTTGTTCATGGCTGCATGCCCAAAAACATCCTGATAAAGTCCTCAACAAAAAATGTTTTTAATTGAGGTGGATACTAATATTAACCCTATGTTAGAGGACAGAAACCTGAAGATCAGAGAGGTTAAGCAATGTGCCCAAGGATGCAAAGCTTGGAGATGTCAGAGCCAGGATTTGAACCCAGGTGTGACCAGTCCCAGAGCCTATGTTTGTTCCTGGAAGAGGCTGTCTTGTTCTGATGTGAACTTTCCTGCCCTTTCCCCTGTTATCAGCTTGCCATTCAGTGCCACCTGTGCAGTCACACATTGCAGGGAACCCTGGATCCTGTTGTTGGCTGACTCTCCCCCATCTGCAGGGGGTGGGGGCTGTAGCCTTGGACCATGGGAGACCTGGTGTTCTACCACCTGTTCCGGGAATGGGGCCCAGTGTGACCCCCCTCACCCGCCTTCTGCCCTATATTAGAGCCTCAGGCTATGGATCTCTCTCCTACCATCTCAAAACCCACGATGCTCCGGCTGCTGAGCTTTCTCCTATTTGTGGCCCTTGGTAAGACCCCAGCCTGTGCTGCCCCGTGCCAGGAGCCCTTGAAATCTACCAACCCACCCTGAGTCTCGCAAACCCAATACGTGGTTCCATAGGAGAGGTCCCAGCTTGTATCTGGGGCATGATTGTGGAGGTTGTCAGCTTGATGCTGGAGCAGGAGAATAGAGGGGAAGCTGTGGGTGATAGACCAGCTCAGGAGGAAGACTGGGGGACCCAAAGGTCTGCGGTGGGAGTCCTCGACGTGGGTGGTAAACAAAGTCTAGGGGGAAAGACTTTGGGGTCTGTGGTTAGACTGCTTGGGTTGGAATTTCTGTTCCTCTGCTTAACCCTCCAACTCTCCTCTCACACTCCCCCTGCTGCACTCCATATCCTGTGGTCTAGCCTTTTCCTGGACTCTCTGCCCTATTACATTACAGCTCAGGGCTACCTCCTCCAAGCAGCGTCTCCTGACTGACAATAATGAATGGTAACAGATAATGTTTACTGAGTGCTTACTATATGCCAGGCAGAACGCTAAGGATATTTTCGTATATTATCTCATGTAACCCTCACAACAGTCCCCTTAAGGTCAGTACTACTATTATCACCATTTTACAGGTAGAGAAACTGACCCTCAGAGAAGTAAAGTAGCCCATCCTAGAACCAGGGGCAGAGCTGCACTTTGAATCCAGGCAGTCTTACTCCAAAGCCACCACTCTTCACGACAATAGCTATCACTTCTCAAGGGCTCATTGGGTACCAGGCACGGTTCTAAGTGCATCAACTCCTTCATTCCTGCCATGAAAGGAAGCCACATGTTCATCTCTCTCCCTAGACTCCTGGGAGTCCAGAAATCCCTGCTCTAGTCCAAATGCTCATTGTTCATATGTGGTTACTGAGGTTCAGATAGGGAAAGGAGTTGTATGGGATCTCACAGCCTGTTTGTGCCATAGCTAGGACTGGGACCCAGACCTCTTCTTTGCTTTGGGGGACCCTCTAGCTGATTGACGCTTCTACTCTATCCTCTAGCCTCGGGCTTTGGCCAGACTTCCTACAGCCTCTCCTCCCGCGTTGTCAATGGTGAGGATGCGGTCCCCTACAGCTGGCCCTGGCAGGTAAGAGCAATACCAGCTGCACTATTTCCCACCATGGGCTCTGCACCCCACGCTCTGATTGCAGGATATTCATTCTGGACCCCATTGTGCTGTTTCCAGTTTTCACCTCAGTCTCCAAAGGCCAGGAAACCCTTGGACAATCTACTTCACATGGAAGTTTTGCCCATTTAATCTGTAACCCTCACTGGGCTGTTTGCAAGTTAAAAGTAGACTCTGGGGGGAGGGCAGTGTTTGACCCAAGGGTTGGTGCATTAATGGTGGAAGTTCAGCGTGATGTTTAAGGAGTGAGATTGGGGGGACTCATTTCTAGACCCCTCAAACTATACAACAGGGCTATAAGGTCTGGAGCAATAAAGGGATGAAGGGCTTTATAGAGGTCAGTGAAGGGAGCACAGAGGACTAGACTCATTGCACTAACACAGTAGCCACTAGCCACATGTGGCTATTTAAATTTATTTATTTAATTTTTATTGGAGAGTAGTCGATTTATTTGTGTTAGTTTCAGGTATACAGCAGAGTGAATCAGTTATACATATACATATGCCACTCTTTTTTTAGACTCTTTTCCCACATAGGCCTAAATTTAAATTAAATTTAGTAATATTAAAAATTCAGTTGCTCAATGCTAACCACATTTTAAATTCTCAATAACCACATGTGGCTAGTGGCTACCATACTGGACCATACTGAACATTTCCATCATCACAGAAAGTTCTACGGATGGCACTGGTCTACAACAGGGGTCAGCTAACTTGTTCTGTAAAAGACGAGAGAGTAAATATTTTAGACTTTGTCAACCATGTGGTTTCTGTTGCAATGACTTAATTCTGCCACTGTAGCATGAAAGCAGCCGTGGATGGTACAGTTGTGTGGGCGAGGCACTGCACATTTCCAGAGGCGCCATTCTGTGTGAATGATTCTCTCTAGAGTTGTGCAGTGCACAACCTATACAGCCATGGGTAGCGGCCCTCGTTGTGGGGCCCAGACCATTCAGGCTCCTGCTTCCCTTGCCACCAGGTCTCCCTGCAGTATAAAAAGAACGGGACCTTCTACCACACTTGTGGAGGCACCCTGATCGCCCCTGACTGGGTCATGACAGCGGGCCACTGCATCTCGTGAGTTCTCTCACTTGCCCCCTCCCTGCGTGAGACCCAGGCAGGCTGGGGCAGTGGGGGACTGTGGGAAGGGAGGGGGGAGGCCAGTCAGGCCTGTACTGATGTCACCTCTGCCAGCAGGAGCTCCCTGACCTACCAGGTGGTGTTGGGCGAGTATGACCGCTCTGAGAAAGAGGGCCCCGAACAGGTGATCCCCGTCAATGCTGGGGACCTCTTCGTGCACCCACTCTGGAACCCCAAATGCGTGTCCTGTGGGTGAGTGAACTCTCAGGCCTGGGACCCAGGGGCTCCTCTGCTGGTCTATCTATGACCCAACACTGATTCTGAGAAGATTCCCAGGGACAGTGGAGCTGGGCCAGCAGCCTGAGCCCAGGTCCCACATGCTGAGGGTCGGAGCCAACAGAGCTTTTAAGGATCACCCACACCAAACGTCTCTCCCTACAGAGGGGAGAGCAGGGCCCAGGGAGGGGCAGGAACTCCCCCAAGGCCACTCGGCTGGTTGGCTTCAGAACCCAGGACTCCTCAGGCACCCCTGTCCCAAATCCAAGGGTTCCTCCACTCAATGGGCATTCATCCAGAGCGTCCTGCGTTCCCAGCATTGTGGGCTAAAGGACGAGCACTGGACTGAGAATCAGGCTCCAGCACCAAGTCATTGTGCGGCTTGGGCAAGTCATTGCCCTTCTTTGGGCCTCAGTTTGACCACTTGTCAAGGGTGGCCTTCTGGGCTTCCTGGGTGGTTATGAGGGTCAAGGAGAAAATCACTGGGTGAGAACACAAAGCAGGGCTTCTTCACCCTCTCAAGCATATGCAAAATTGTATGTCTGGGTAGCTCAGCATTTTTCTGGTGAGAGGATCAAAGAAGGGTGCAAAACCCCTGAAAGTGCAACGCAGAAGTGAGGGACCATGATGGTCAAGACCTGGACCCATCCTCAGGGGCTCCTGGGGTGAGTGGAGAGAAAATCAGACCCAGATGCAATTACTTGAGGGACAAACAGGCAGATGAAGAGAGCAGTGGTTCTCAAAGTGTGGTCCCCAGGCCAGCAGCAGCAGCATCACCTGGGAACTCATTAGAAATGTGAACCCTTGGGGCCTCCCAGACCCACCGCATCAGAAACTCTGGAATGGGCTCCAGCAACTTGTGTTTTAACAAGCCCTCCAGTGATTCTGACACAGCTGATGCATGAGAACCACTGGTGTAGAAGCTGAGGACAATTACCAAGGCCAAGGGTCAGCGTGGGCTGAAGAGGCCAGGAGGGCTTCCTGAAGTTGCTCAGCAGTAGGAATGCATGGGATCTGGAGGGAGAAGGGGCACCGGGCGCATCCCGGAGGTGAAATATCCTAAGCAAAGCTGAGGGGCGGGGCTTGGTCTGGCTGGAGGACCAGGCTGCCCATGACTCTTCCCTCCTCCCCAGCAACGACATCTCCCTCATCAAGCTCTCGCGCAGCGCCCAGCTGGGAAACAAGGTCCAGCTCGCCAGCCTCCCTCCCGCCGGCGACATCCTGCCCAATGAGACACCCTGCTACATCAGCGGCTGGGGCCGTCTCTACAGTACGTGCTGACCCCTCCAGCCAGCCATAGGGACAGTGGGGAGGATGACAGAGCCCGGGGCGGGGCGCTGAGGGCGACATCAGGAGCATCCTTGCACTTTTCCTCCATTCCTCCTCCAGAGGCAGCCTTCTCCCCTCACCCTCCCAAACGTGAATGTGTTCAATGGAAGATTTTTTTGTCTTCTGCGTGCCAGGTGCTGGAGATGTTCTGATGGAGAAAGCAGGCAGGACCACATAACCTGGTGGGAGGAGACTTCCCATCAGACTGGAAGAGTGGCTTTTCCTCAACCCCCCCGTCCCACTCTGGGGCTCCCAGTCCTAACTCCCAGACCCCAGCCCTAGCCCTGCATCCCTACAGCCCCTGCTCAATGCTCTCTATCTCCACAGCCAGTGGGCCGCTCCCGGACAAGCTGCAGCAGGCCCTGCTGCCCGTGGTAGACTACGAGCACTGCTCCAAGTTGGACTGGTGGGGCAGTGCCTTGAAGAAGACCATGGTGTGCGCCGGCGGGGACATCCGCTCTGGGTGCAATGTGAGTCAGCAGCTCTCGTCTGCCCGAGGTGGTGTGGGGCTACAGCCACTCCGCTGGGTGTGCAGGGCCCAGGGTACTTCTGCTATCTGCCTGGGAGGAGAGGGAGGAATCTTGACTGCTGGGCTCATTCAAGCCTCCAGGCCAGGCAGGACTTGGAGGAAGTCACTGCGGCCCAGGCACACAGCTCTGGTCTCTGGACTCTAGTCCCAGCTCACACACCGACTTGATCTGGGACGAGTTACTGTCCCTTCCTCGACCTCAGGATTCCCATCAGTACAGCAAGGGATATGGACACCATGATCTCTAAAGTCACCTTCAAATCTGGGGTCCTGAAGTTATAATTAAGCAATACTCTCACTGTACTACAAGTGAATATGAATAACAATAACTAACTGTGGTACTAATAATCAGAACTACCATTTATTGATTGCTTCCTCTCTACCAGGCACTGCGCTAAGACCATATACTTATCACCTCATTTAATTGTCACAAAATCTTGTAAGATATATATCATTCCTCATCACAAAGGAGCAAACTGAGGCTCAGAGAGGTCAAGTCATAGAAGGGTTTCTCAAAATCCCCGAAGTCTGAACCAATTCCTTAAAGCTCAGACACAGCTCAGTCCCCCACTGCTCTCCAACCATTCCAGGGTGACTCTGGAGGACCCCTCAACTGCCCGGCAGCAGATGGCTCCTTTCAGGTCCATGGCGTGACCAGCTTCGTTTCTGCCTTTGGCTGCAACACCCGCAAGAAGCCCACAGTGTTCACGCGAGTCTCGGCCTTCAATGACTGGATTGAGGAGGTAAGCAGGACAGAGCAAGCAGCGAGGGCTCTGGGTGCTGGCTCTTCTCAGAGGTGCTGGGGGGATGGGTGAGAACAGCAGATCCTGATCCTAGGAGGTCAGCAGTGGGAGTGGGGCACATGCCAGAAGGGTTTGAGGATGTTTTCTGCTGCAGTGTGGCCCTAAGAATCTCAAGGGCTTCTGGGTGGAGCTTTGAGCTACTGCTGAACTTCCTTTTTTCAACAAGTGTATATGAAGTGCCTCCTTTGGTCCAGGTCTTTTCTTGTCATGGAGGATAGAGTGATGTGTGGCTTGTGGGGAACAGACGATTAAATGAGCAAAATGATGAAATGTGGTGGAAGCTGTGATAGGTGAAGCTCAGGCCCCAGTGAGAAAGCAAACCTCATCTGGCAATGAGCGGTCAGGGAGGATTAATACTGTTCGTGACAATAGGCTTAGCCACCATTTATGGACTCTTAAACATATGCCAGGCACTGTGATGACACCTTAGTCAATATTTTAATTTAAAACCCCCATGAGGTAAGTACTATGATTACCCCCATTGTACAGATGAGAAAACTGAGGCTCAGAGAGCTCAAGTCACTCTCCCAGGGTCATACAGCCAATGAGTAACATGGTTGGGAGTTGAACTCAGTTCCATATGGCGTCAGAAGCTGTGTTCCTGACTAGACTATTTCCCCTCTCTTTTTTCAGACCATTGCAAGCCACTAGAACCAAGGCCGGGGTGGCAGTGCCCATTCACTCTCTTTGTGAAAAATAAAGATCTCTCAGAAAATTCCAAATTGAGTCTTTCTTCCTTCTTTGATTCACCTCTTCCCCTCTGGCCTGTTCCTAAAATCTTAGATGTGATATGTAGAGATGAGAAGAGAATCAACCCTCTCATATGAGAATGAGAAAAAAATGAGGCCCAGAGAGAAGGGAGTTGGTGTCAAGTGACCGACCATCACAGTTTTCCTGGGACACAGGACTTTCCGCGGTTAAAACTGGGTGAAGGGGCTTCCCTGGTGGCGCAGCGGTTGAGAGTCCGCCTGCCGATGCAGGGGACATGGGTTCGTGCCCCAGACCAGGAAGATCCCACATGCCGTGGAGCGGCTGGGCCCGTGAGACATGGGCCGCTGAGCCTGCGCGTCCACAACGGGAGAGGCCACAACGGTGAGAGGCCCGCGTACCGCAAAACAAACAAACAAACAAACAAACAAAAAAACTGGGTGAGGGACTTCCCTGCTGGTCCAGTGGTTAAGACTCCGTGATTCCACCACAGGGGGCACGGGTCAGGGAACTAAGATATGTCCCGTGGTGTGGCAGAAAAAAAACAACAACAAAAAATCAACATCAAAAACAAAATCAAAAAAAACCCAAACCGGTGAGTCTTGGGAAGTTGTACAGCCACGTGCACAATCACTGGCTTTTCAATGCAGGCATAAAAGCATGGTAGAGTCTGCAGAAATACTGTCCTTACCAGCCCCTTGGGAGGCTCATGTTGGAATTGACAGGGCTGTGCATTTTCTGCTTCCATTGATGGGCTGGGGAAGGAGGACTGCAGTCATTCATTCATTCAACAAGCATTCATTCCTTCTTCTTGAGGAGGGCTCACAGGGGGAAGACGAAATGGCTCATTATTTAGACGGAAATGAGCACATCAGAGTCATTCATTAAACATTTACTAGGCACCTTCTTTGTTGAAAGTTCTGGGCTGAGAGAACAGAGGTAAGCAGGACAAGGTCAGGGAGAGCCCTTGCTGCAGGGCGGAGACGCACACACAGATGCACACACAATGCGGAGACCGAGGTCGGACCCCAGTGGGCTGTTGCTGAGGTCCAAAAGACTGCTGCCGTGCCTCCAACTCAACATAAAAACAACCGAGTTCTTTTACTCACGTTTCTCCTGAATACCATGAAAGGAAGCATGGTCCCCACAAGGACACACGTATACAATTTTTAATATTAACGTTGTTCCATTGCTCCCTTCCTTAAAAAATTATGCTTCCAGTGTTGAAAAGTTTAAAAGATACAACATGGAGAATAATAAACAAAACACCCAAATAGCCTCCCTCCACAATGAACAAATTTCACATTTTTGCTTCATATTTTCTAAAACAACTACAGTTCAGGTGGAGGCCCCTTTGTACTCTTCCCAGGGGTCTTCACCACCATGGGTGTGGGGTTATCCACCAAATATTACTGCTTTTCCTTTGGGGCACATAGTAGGATAGTCCTTCCCTCTTGAAGTTGAGTTTGGCCATGTGGCTTGCTCTGGCCAGGGTGAAGATTTGAGAGACAGGACGATTTCCCTTTGCCTCAGTAACTGGTGGCGCCAGATCAGCCTCGTCCCAGAGCGAGGAGATGTGGAACACAGCCTCTCTGCTGCCCCCTGATGGACATGCAGCACAAGCAAGAAATACAGTCTTGTTACAAGCTGCTGAGATTTTGGGTGTTTGTTACACTGGCATGGACCTAACCTATCCTGACTGATAAAAGGAGTTTGGTGTTTATCCTTTCACTCCATGCTATTATATTTTTATCACAAATATAAATATCCATAAACAATATATTGCTTTGCTTTGGTTTTTTAAAATACATGCATGGCTTCTTGCCATATGGATTATTCTGCAACTTGCTTCCTTCACCCAATATTTTCACCCAGTGTTTCTGACGTCTATTTATGCTGATTCATCTATGCTGATTTATCTATCTCCAGTTCATTGCTGCTAGTTTTGTAGAGTATTCAATTGCCCAAGAACACTAGTTATTTATCCTTTCCCCCTCCTGATGGACATTTAGAGCAGGGCCAATTTTTTCTGATTACAAATAGTGCTTCAGTGAACATCCTTGGACATATTTCCAGGTGCACATGTGAGAGTGGCTCTAGGGCATATTCCTAGAAGTGGAATGGCTGACTGGGAGAGTGTGCTCATTTTCAACTTTACCAATTGCCAAATTGCTCTCCAAAGTGATTGTATCAACAGTATCTCTTAAAATTCCCTTTTTTTCTTTCCCCATCCACTGGTTCCACACACTACAACTGCCACACATTTTTCTCCTAAAACCACCCCTGGAATCTCAACTCTTTCCTCCAAAACCCTCTCCTCCAGTCCTTAGCCCCACTCCAGCTCCTACAAAAGCCCAAGAACCGGTCTGACAAGGCCAGAGTGAGGGCAAGGAAGGAACTGAGTCCAGCAGAGCAGAGACCTCTGCATCACAGGAGAGTGGAGGAGGATGGGAGAAATTCTGGAGCCAGGACATGTTAATCATTTGTATGGAGACAATGCTGAATGGCATATGCAACTGTCAGGCGCTCCCAGGGCACTGCAGTATCTACTTCTTCCCAGTGGGTCAGGGAAGAGCCCTTAGACAATTTTCCAAAACAATTTTAGGACAAAGCGCAGCCAAACATGTAAAATTCCACACTGTGGCTGGGCGATGGACCCTCAAGTGTCCTCCACACAGCTTCAGGGGAAGGCTGAGAGCTTCTATGACACCCTCCTCATGTATGGCCAACAGGGAGTTAGGACATCTTGCCTAAGAGTGCTAACAATTCAATGAATAATTCAAATTTCTTTTTTAAAATTTCCAAGTATCAACAATTCAAATCCTTTAAAAACTGTATAGACAATAATTTAATTTTTTGAGTAATGATTAGAGTATCAACACCAACAATTTTTTGTTTTTGTTTTCTAAATCATGAAGAACAATCCACTTTTTGAAGATGCACAATGTCAATACTTCAATTCTCTTCTAAAAGTGACAAAGGGGGCTTCCCTGGTGGTGCAGTTGTTAAGAATCCACCTGCCAATGAAGGGGACACGGGTTCGAGCCCTGGTCCGGGAAGATCCCACATGTCATGGATCAACTAAGCTCATGTACCACAACTACTGAGCCCGTGTGCCACAACTACTGAAGCCCGCGCACCTAGAGCCCGTGCTCTGCAACAAGAGAAGCCACCACAGTGAGAAGCCCACGCACCACAATGAAGAGTAGCCCCTGCTCGCCACAACTAGAGAAAGCTCGCGTGCAGAAACGAAGACCCAATGCAGCCAAAAATAAATAAATAAATAAATTTTAAAAAATAAATAAAATATAAATAAATAAAAGTGATAAAGGATCAGCGTGGCAATGCTCTTTTTTAACCACAATGTCAACAACTTAGTTCTCATCTTAAAATCATTGAAGTGTCAATAATTCATTTTTTTCAACTCTACCTCAACTAAAAAAATTTTTTTTGTTAATTCAAAAAGAAAAATAAAAACATGGTCACCTTAAAAAAATTCACTTTTTTAATCTTAAGAGTCAACAATTCTATTATATTTTCTTTTTTCAGAACATTCATACTGGTTATGTTTTAGAAACTTCCACTTTGGGAAAGATTTGTAAAAATCACCCACGTTCCCACCTCTCTTACACAGCTGCTTCTAAAATTTTGATATGCTTCCATCCACTTTTTTTTTTCCCATCTACTTCTTTTTCTTTCCATTTAACAAATCTATCACACAGACATAGAAAACAAACTTATGGTTACCAAAGGGGAAAGGGAGGTAGGGGGAAGGATAAATTAGGAGGTTGGGATGAACATATACCCACTACTATACATAAAATAGTCAGCAAGGACCTACTGTATAGCACAGGGAACTATACTCAATATTTTGTAATAACCTATAAGGGAAAAGAATATGAAAAAGAATATACAAATAAAAATATATAAAAAAAATAAAAGAAAAGAAAAAAGAAAAAAGAATAGATATATACGTATAAATGAATCGTTGTGCTGTACACCTGAAATTAACACGATATTGTAAATCAACTATACCACAATTTTAAAAAATTTTTTAAAAAGAAAGAAAACTTATCAACAGTTAGATTCAATGGACATGGACTGAGCAGCTACTGGTATTCTGTGCCAGGCATGGGCAGCGGAGAATGACCCTGACTTGGGCCGGACCCTCGAGATTCTAGTCTGGACGGGAAGCATGGATGGAGACTTGGTTCATTGTTCTAATGAAGGCCCAGAGTAGTATGGGGCCCAGGGAGCTGGGGTCATACTGCCATGGGAACCCTGGAGTACTCGATGGCCCTCACATCCAAGTGATTGAGGCATCAAGGGACTCCTGTGAAACATGAAGCTGTCAAACCTTCTTTTGTCAATTAACACCAAAGACAGTGCTGAGAAACCTCATTCCCTAAAACCAGAGACTGTCAGAAACTTTTTGAAATCATGTCAGGGAGAACAGAACATTCCCCTCTTGTCTGGTGGGTTGGAGCCAGATTTGACACAGAGAAGCAGCCTGGATTACCAGCCCAGGTGCAGAGCTTCAGATAAGGGGTTTCTGGACACAGTAGTTCTATATTGATCTTAACTTTGTGGTGTCCAAGGAAACAAGACCATGAGTTCGCTTCTCAGCCCAAGTCAAATGTTAACCCCTCTCCACACAGTTAGGTTTGCTTTGAGCCTATCAACACTGCTTCATTTCATTTCCACCTAAATTCCACCCTGCCCCCTAACCCTATGATAACCCTGTTTCTTCCTTTGTTTGGCTCCTCTGGGTGTTGTCTCCCTGGCTGCAGCAAGTTAATAAACCAACCTAACTTTGTTAAACTATATCTATGTCCCTGCTGGTCTTTATCAGATTAGCTTTATCATAAAATCCAAGCCTTCTCTGTTCATTCACTTAC